TCACCAGAACTATCATTAAAAACTATCAGGAACTATAGAACTCGACTGCATGCGACAAGAACTCTCTTTTATTTTTGATCTGCTAGAAAATTGATCTGCTACGGGAAGTTAGCAGATCATTTTTTGGATTGGTGTTTTTTTGGATAAAATCACCAGAACTATTACTAAAAACTATAAGGAACTATAGAACTCGACTGCATGCGACAAGAACTCTCTTTTATTTTTGATCTGCTGGAAAATGATATGCTAGGTTCACGAACATTAAAAATTGTAGTTCTTTTTCGACAATTATATAATTCTTTTATTAGATATTTGTATGAAAGATGTAATAAAACATCTAATGTATGATTTGTAAAAAAAGTTTAATGTACGCAATAATTATTTTTTACGTAATTATTTTATTTAACGCTGCTATAATTTGTATTTTGTATGTTATAGGTCAACTTGTAGACCACAACTCCGCATCATGCTGGTAAATCAATCAAATTTGTTATATTTTAATATTATTAAACAAAAGATTTTTTAAAATAATGTATAATATACATATATTACATATTACATTCCTGACAGATTTATTTAAATGATTGGAAGATCTATGTTTTCTATAAAATGTGCAGCTTTTAATATACAATAATCAATCAATCAATTTAAGATATAAAAAAATTAATAACAGTATATTTTTATTTTATACCGTAATTTTTTTATCAGCAATTCTAAATTCTATTAATAAAATAAAATTACAGGTAAATATCTAAAATAGAGCATCAAATATTAATTCAATATTAATTCAATTTATATTGTGTAATAATTAATAATTTATAAAGACATTAATGTTATTTTCAATTACATAGAATTCACAATATAGTAGAGAATATCAATTATCCAAATATTGACTGCCCAAATATTAATTCCTCTTGACAATCGATATTAAAACAGCATGTGTGCACAAACTTCTAACTAATAAAATTATACTTTTATTTTTAAAAATAGGAAACATGCATAGTTAGATAATTTTTTTTAAATTGTGCGAAACGTACGTATTTTTGTATGAAAGTATAATTTACTTTGCTTACTAGTAAAATTTGATAAAAAAATCTACAGCGCACTCATTTATCAGGTCCGTTTTACTGCCAGCTAATTACCGGCAAACTCTCCTGTTAATTACCTCACGATTGAAGGCAGTTCTGATTACCTGAGATACGAATAAGCAAGCGTCGAAGTACGCGGTAATTAATTATTAATTATACGCGGTGTCGTTTAGATTGCAGTTCTGTTATTGCTTGAGGTAGCAATCATCTTATATAGAACTCGAAATTTTAAAAATATAGAAATACAATTATATATATATAAAATAATTTGCATAATGTGAAATCTAGTCACACATAAAAAAAATTATGATTATTATTATCAAATATTATCAAATAACGTATTAAATAACACATTATGTAAAATAATTAAAAAGAAGTCCATCGCGGAAACTTCAATCTTGATAAAACTGTACGACAAAAGTAATTTTCTCTCTTATATCCGATTTATGCTTTAATACTCGTCCGTTTGTCTCTGATACTTTTTAATGTGCGGCCGAGTCACGCGAAACGCTGCGCTGATTTCCACTTATACGAGAGTTCGCCGAGATTGTGTAAAGTAATTTTTTACACCGGTGGCAGTCCAGAATCAGAATGGACGGATTATACCTGAGAGTGGCTGCGTCAATTAAGGGATAATCACGGTGTTAGCCGTACGTGTTCATGAGGCGCGCTCGCGCTCATATATATATGATTATCTCCACACGTGTACGACTACCGCGGTTACGGAGTAGCGGTACTACTTGTGTCGGATAAAGTCCGATTCTATCTCGGTTTAACATTGCTGGAAATGAGAAGAGGATGAGAGAGTGGCGCGAGGGTGTATGTGTTGTGTGAGCACGGGAACAAGAGAAATGGGCGACGGCGAGGCTTGAGCTATCTTCCGTCTGGCAATGCTCTACCGCAACTGCATTAGCCGGCTTATCCGCTCATTATGTGGACCGACGATCGCACCCCCGTGCCACTAACTCTCGTCCTTCTCTCCGAGCTCCTCACGAGAGATCAAGAAGTGTCTAGCCTTGCTTCTTGGAGTTTCTAGAACGGCAGAGTATAAGATGAATAAACTCACTCACCCGACATCGGGCCACTGTTTCCTTCTCGTCGATCGCTCCATTGTTTCTAGCACTCACACGCGCACCGAACCGCGATAAACCGACCGAAAATCACTGATCGCGTTCACGCGAGCTAATAAACGCGGCACGACGATCGTCACTCCTCGACACGTATCACGCACAACACACTATATACGCGAAAATACCGCGAACCACGACTATCATCCGTTTTTACGACACTCGCGACTTTCGTTACGTATACGACCGCCATTTTATGTACGTATAAAAATCAAGTAGCAACTTCATGTCGTTTCGAGAAATTGTAGGGTAAAGGGGATACTAATCAGTGATTACTGACTTGACCGCTAATAAACAACTAAATATCAATTAATCCGAAAATCCAGTCGACATTCTCGATTCACGATAGCCCGCCGCTCACGACTCCGAACTTTTGAAGATGTGTGCATATTCGTTCACTCCGAAAAATCTACGAAACACGGAGCTTTCGCGTTGCGACCGCCAAACTATAGCGGGATCACGAACCGTTATAAGACTACGTGAATCAAACGAGCGAATTAATCGATAATACAGATCGATATTAACCGTTTCTATTTTGACTAGTGCAATCATCTTGCACTTATAACTGTGCTAGTTACACTTTGTGCATTCAAAATAAATTAAATAAATTAAATATTGGTAAACGAAAAAAGTACAATGCAATTATAAAAAAATATCTCTTATTTTAAGAAATTTTATATCGTTGCGTATTTGAGCTGAATCAATTATATGTATTATTATATGTATCTCTATTATATGTATTATTCCCATCGGAAGCAAATACCGCGTATTTGCGACTAATGTGCGACCTTTCATCTCAAGCCGCGTTCAAATCTATTTACATACTAGGACGCATTATTTACATACATTATTAATATTACCTGTTCGAATCGCATCGCATTAAAAACGAGCGAACTTTCAGATTAATTAAGATATTTGATTGTAATTAGCTGTTTCCTGATTCTGAAGATCTCCGGTCAATAATATGCGCGTCGGTATGAAGTTGTCTCCATGAACATTGAATTACACAAATACAGAGGGTAGAGTGTAAAGTGCGAAGAACTAGATAATAAATCTGATTGGCTAAACCATTTTTGAACACATTTAGTGGCTGCCATGCGACATTCCCTCCTAGTATTTGTTTTTTCCATGCATACACACAATGCGCGCGAAAATGTCATAAGTAATGCGAGTGCCGAAAGTGATATGATAAACAATCGTCATATTTTATTCGATTGTTTGTTCGTTCAAAATGCATTGTGCGTATAACAAGCATCGAGAATATAGCAGGTTGTCATTTGCATCACGTTAAATCAGTGCTCGGCATCGTTAATCGAAACGTTAATCAGCGATTTTCGGCAGATCCGTATCTGGCAGAGTGAACATTTGGAGCAATGAAGCAGTCAACGAGAAAATGACGATATTGATCATGTCGGTGATGCATCGGTTGGTGAGTGAATCCATTTTTATATCCGCATGATTGAATGTTTATTTCTTTCTTTCGCAATGATTCGACATAATTACGCCATAGCGATCATATTCCAGTATTCGCTTCATACCATCGTTCAATTTAGATCGAATATTGTTAATTGTATCTTCTTACTTTATTTTTACGTTAACGTGTTTTATGTTTGTTATCGTTTGGTTGGTGCTAATTTTGCAATACATAAATTTTTGAGAAGATAATCATGATTTTTTAACTAGAAAATTTCGATAATTAAACTTAAAATTAAATCTTTAAGCAAGTAAAACCGATTAAATGTTAAATAAATAATACCATTTATTAATCATTTATATTAAATAATGTTCAATAAAATTCCAAATTCTGGATTTAACAATTTCTAACATATGTGATAAGGCAATGTCCAAATGCACCAACCAATCGAATAACGACGGTGCTGAAGGAGAAAAGACCAAGCCAGTCGTTGAAAAGGCTGCACTTAACGCGGCGGATATATATCGCTCTGCAGGATGGGGTGGAAGTGAAATGTAGCCGCGCTTACCGGACCGGCTAAACGCACTATTTATTGTCCGGTCGCCAGTTTCCTTTAGAGATCCTGCGTCCATAAGGACACACATTTACCAACCAAAAGGCAGAATTGGTTCCATTCATATTAAATGTTCAGCGCAATATGTATTATTATGATCGTATGCTTTTTCAAATTTGACGTACCAATATGTTAGCATACAGAAATCATAGAATGTTATGCTAACAAAGTATGTGGCATCGCAGTAATACCAATCAATTAACTTATATTGATGTATTTTACTGCAAGCTACATGTGTAGCAAACTATATAATTATATTTAATTATCTACCCTTTTTATTTTGTGACTAATTAAGAAAAGATTTTAATTTTCTCAAAAAATGAAAGATATGATATGACAAATCTATCTTTCCCAATTGTCAATTTTATTATTTTATACGTTGATACACACTTGTTGATAAACTTTTTCAAAATTTACAAACGTACACGACTAGTGAACAACGCGTTTCTCTATGATATGACAGAAATTTTATATTACATTACACATTAAATAAATCTTATTATTCTTTGCAAAAAAAGCATAGAAAACAATATAAAAGTTTATGGAATATTTTGAATATATTCAGGACTAGAGCAAATATTATATTTTTTACAAAAAAAAAACAAATATAAAGTTCTGTATGTTATATATCCAATATATATTCTAAAGAAAGATAGATATATGGTTTGAAAATATCAGCATAAAATTAGGCATTACTGCAAGCATATGAAAAATTTTTTCTTTAAACGATATAAAATACACACAATTATTTATCTTACCTTTCGATGTGGCTCCAACAGCAATAGTGGATAGAACTTCTTGATTTTCACCATAACATTTTACAAATTGCCAATCCTCTCTCAGTTTCCTGAGTTTCTCCTATTATATAAAATAAAATAATGGTATATTTTAATAATGACTATCTCTCGAAAATTCAGTATGATAAATACAGTTTTACATACTTGTAATTCGACAGAAACTGGTTGTTTTGCTGATTCACATTCTTTTTCCAAATTAGTATAATTTTCTAAAACGTCTTTTACTTCCATCTCACGATCTTCAACTTTAGACTGAAAAATACAAGTAAATATTTATGTTTTTTTTTATCAACTATGTAAAAAATATTATAACTTACCATAATATTTTTAATCATTTCATTACGCTCGTGCTGCGGTAATTCTTGAGAAATGCTCAATCGCGTTCGCGTTTCCATAACCCATGCCATAACAGCATCCAAAGTACAGATATATTTTCTGAGTGACGCAAGTTTACATTCCACATATTCGCGGTGGTTTGAAAGATTCACGTTAGCCTATATAATTAATATAATATAATTAAACAAATGTCATTATAAGTCCAAAAATATAGCAATATCCATCGATTTTTTGAAGATTTTAATAATCATGATATTAAATATTTTATTAAACAATCGATACCTTATCCATATCTGCGAGAAGCTTGTTATTCTCGTCTTCTTCTCTAGAAACGTTATGTTGATTTACTAAGTTTTGCAAAGCCTTTTTCCACGATAACAGTTCTTCTTCTCTCGCCTACAATATTTCATGAATTATTTCATTAGTTATAGCTATTTACAATTAAATAGCAGCAATAAATAAATAACGTGACTTGTTATTTATTCTTAAAAAATTTAGCGTATGTACATGAGAAACAATAAGTTATATCAAAGATACTTCAAACATTAACCAACATCACCTACAAAATAAGACAAAAGGCTAACATATAGGTGAGCTTTACTAGGAAGCTATTTGAAAGTGAGAGTTCAATGCTATTTATGTTCTGGCACGGTTTGGCATGTACAGTCATGAAATGTAGAGATATTATTAGGACAAGTTTCGGTTTATTTGATTATGCTGCACCAGGCTGTAGCATGGAAACCGAATCTCACAGAGAATAATTTCGTTACTTATCCAAGTCGCATCTAAGCAGAGCGCTAAGCAGTGTTTTTCAATAATATATAATAATAATATTATAATAATATATAATAATAATAATAATAATAATATTGTAGTGTTATCATACAACATAAGTGATTTTATTTTGAAAGAAAGTAAAGTATCAAATCAAGTATCATGTGATTTTATTCAATAGTGATCTGAGCACAGTGAATGTAATAATGTATAATAATATCTCTCTGTTTCGAAATTGAAAATATAATATATTTAAAAAATAAAAATAGAGACATAATAAAAATTTTTACTGCGACAAATTATTCTGGCACAAGTGTTAATTGAGAACAACAAAGAAAAATATTTCAAAAATATATTAGCTTACCTTAATCAACGATAATCGGATAAATAATGAGGTTTCGTCAGAAGGATTTGCAGCAGATATTAACAAAGTATTCACTTGTTCTACAATGTTGTATGCCGTTTCCAAAATCCTACCGTCATTGTTCACTTTTTTCTCCATAGCAAAGTTCCTTAAACAATACACGTAAACAAAACATATTTTAACATATTTAAAACAATATTTTAGACATATGTCAAACTATTATCTTAGTCGAAATTATAATTCCTATTATTGTTTTACACAAAAATACGATTTACAAGAGAAACTTGAAAGATGTTCGTTTATTCTGTGGTTATTCTGAGTTGACTGACTTCACTACAGCAGCACAGGCAAATCACAACTGAAATAGCTCAATGCTGGGTCGAGCTTTCCTCGCAATGCTACATGTGCTTGTCTGCATTAGCATGTCATAACTTCATAACTCATCGCTTTAAATCGTAAGCAATGGTTATTACTTGTGATTATTAAACAATCTACATTTATTTAAAACATTTGAGTGACAAAAACGGATTCAAACATCCATAATTTTCTTTTCAAAATATTAAAGATTGCACATTTTACTTACTTTTCTTTTCGCGCATTTATTTCGGCTACTAAATTTTGCCAGCGGTGCTTGATGTTATCAATCATATTTTGCAATTCCTCTACATCTTCAGTCGTAGCCTTGTTAGATATGTCTGCACTCGCTGCATTAATATTATTTAATGTTCTCTGCATTCTAGAGACTTCTTGTTCTAATTCGAAAGTTTTTGTCTTATTCGCTTTAGAGTGGCTAAAGACATTGCACTTTGTTAGAGCTTCTTCCATTTTAGTTAACCATTCCAAAAATGTTCGACATGTGTTATGAAGTTCTCTCCACTTTTCGTAACATTTAATCCAACGATTATGTCTTTCCACATAATTCTGATTCACGTTTGTCCATTCGTCTAACAACTTTCCGCTTAAATATTTTATCTGATCGGCTTGCTCTTTTTTAGCTTGCCGCGTGACATTCTCACAAACGTAATATACTTCGTCAACGCTTGGTCTCAAAATATTCAAAGCATTGCTAATTTTCTTTAAACATTCTTCTTGATTTGTAAACAGCTCGTAATCTTTACCATTCAATGGTATAGAATTCAAGGATCGCAATACAGTCGATGTTGCTTCTCTCAACTTGCTAATGCGTGTAATAAATTCTTGCGGATTAACACCACCAATATCCTAAAAAAATATTTATAAGAGTTAAACCTTTTAATATAGATTTAGAATTTTATCAAATAATAATTAATTTACAATAGCATTTTATTATTACAACAATATTCAAACGTACCAATTCCACTTTCTTGTCGGTTACGTGTTTGTCTTTGTCTTTGCTACCACTGAATCTCTTAAACTGTGAGCTAACTTTTTGCCAGTTACTATTAATATTGTAACGTACAGATTCTGAATAACCAACATTTAATTTTCTCAATTCTACAGCTAGCTCATTCAATTTATGTATTTGCACTTGTTTTGCATCAAATTCTTCAGTAAATGATTCTAATTGACCCTCATAATTATTAGCCTGTTCAAGCTTCAGTGGTACATCTCTAAACCAGTCTTCGAATTCTGCGATTATATTATTGTACTGTTGCAAAGTTTCTTCTGCTTTCTGTGCCTGTTTCCTGCGCGTTTCGATCTCTGTCATAACTTGATGCCACTTGCTTCTCAATTTATCCTGATGTTCATTTTTCATTTTTTCTGCCCGTGCAGGGTCAGTCATGTGTATCGTCATAACTAAACCATCTCCTTTGCTTATTAAAGCTGCTGCATCTGGAGCAAGAGTACTAATCTCACTTTTGAGTATCTGTAATATCAAAAGGAATGTAAAATTACAACCAATAAAATACTTCTGTTTATAAGCTCTAATTTAGATAAATATATATTATACAAACCTCAAGTCGCTTGGTAGGATCTTTCTCATTAGAGATACCACTAATACTCATTAACATAACATCCATTCTGCACAACATCATTTGTGCTAATTGCTCAAATTCCAAAATATTTTTCTCTAACACTGTTCGAGATGTACCTATCGAACCTTTATATAGCGCTTTCTCACCAAAAGCTTTGGTTTCTGTCTTCTGCTGCGCAAATGGCCGGGATTTTTCGACTTGTATCTGTAAAAAAAATAAATTGTCGAGTAAGTCATAGTATCAAAAATTTATTTCATTAAAGCAGCTTAGAATAAATAACGGGCTGGTGGACATCAAAGACACAAGGCATGAATAGACGGCGCATGTTACCTTGTCCAAGAGGTGCTCAACTTGTTCTCCTAAATTAATATCTTCTCCATCTGAACTGGAACTACCAACATCAATTTCTGTATCATCCGAAAATATCAACACATCATCTGTTTCCTTATCACTGCCATAAAAGCTTTCACAATCTTCCAGTGTATCGTCTTTTGATAGATTCCTCATGTATTTCGACTTCTTATGTGACTTTTCTTCTTCGCTACGACTTGTATTAGCAATATTTTCACAAGTTTTAGAACGTTCAATGTTTTTTTCAGATATTATTTCCTTCTGATTCTTTCTATTTTTTGGCGTTGTTCCTGAACTTTGTGATTTAGCGCGATCTACATGATCACTAGTTTTCACATCAGATTTTTCAATTTCTTCCCTATCATCTAATATAAGATACTCTGCCACACTCTCTGTATCCTTCCACGAGGCAGCTGTTCTTGATGATTTGTTTAATTTATCTTGTTTTTCATCTATCTTACTACATTCAGCATTCGAAAATTCTGTAACTTCTGTCTTTTTTAATGGCCCACTGCTGGAAAGTGTTGGACTTTTCTTTGTATCGTTAATATTTTCCTGATCATTGTCTAAATCTAATTTCAATATGAATTTTTTAACATTTTTTGTAGAAGATTCTACTGGAGTCTTCTTTAAGATTGGTACAAGTTCTTTTCTCTTATTGACAATCTGTTCTGCAGTGCCAATGGAAGGAGACATTTTTCCTTTGCCTTCCTTGTCTTCTGTATCAGTATCTATAGACTCAGCTTCTGTTTCAGTATCTTCAACAATTTCTACCCTTTCGACTACTTGCGGCACCAATCCAACAGTGACATTAGCGCTTGGTAAAATGACATGATTTTCGGGAGAGGCTACCGATTTTACAATTTCCATTTCTTTCACTTCGACAACTCGGAACGGATTTTGTTGCGCACAAGCTGTATTGAACGTTTCTGTTGCTGTCAAAGTATTACTAGATACTTGAGAGAATAATTTACTGTTCTTAGCCAGAAAGAATTCTTCCTCATCGGCCATATGCACATCTGTATCGGAACATGGTGAAGGCAAATCATCGTCAATTGGAACCACTTGTGGTTGAGAAGTTTGAACAACATCGGGCACAGAACTCATGTCTAACTTTCGCCTAACAGTTCTACTAACATCCACAATTCTAACTTTTACTTTTTCCGACTTAGCAGACTTTCTGCTTCGGTGAGGCACATCGATCGGCGAGCTTTCAGGAGTGTTAATGACAGTACATTGATTATCATCAAAGGCAGGATTAAGATATCCTATGCCGTAAATCGCTTCATTTTCATCTATTAATTTCTTTTCTTTTTTGTTAGGATGTGCTGAAGTTTGTTCCAGCTGCCTAGATAACTTGTTGCGTCCATAATTGTCTCTCCCCTTAGAAGCTTCTGTTTTACTTTTTATTAACAAATTATCTGTGATTTTGTGGATCCATTCCTGTGAAAATATGATAGGTGACAGAAACTTCATCAACAATTGACAGTTAATTGAAAGAGCATGTTAATAGTGGAACAATATTAAGCATGGTCTAATGGAAGTGACAATGCGGTTCATTGTGCATATAAAGCTGAATTTTTCATGTGTATCCATCACCAATACAAGAATCTTCGCACTATGGCTCAATTAACGTCTTCTAACTCTGCAGCCTGCTGTCTAAGTTCTCCATTTAAAAAAAATTTTATACAAGGGGAGAGACAATACCATAGAACAACTTGTCAATAAAATACGAGCCTTTCCATCCACCAGAATGTTTACTTATTTTGCGCCAGTAATTACACTATTTACAAAAATAGAGCCACCTCTTGGACAAAATCGAGATTTATATATATTTTATACTATTAAGGAATTTCCATACTTAAATTACGAAAGTAATATGGAAAGTAATATAAGTTATATATAC